TCAAACGGGCCGGATCTGGCCCGCGGGCCGTAGTTTGCCCACGGCTGGGTTAGAGGCTGCAGACACGGGACATCGAGGCCCTCGCCTGGGCCCCACCCATGCAAAGAAAATGGTAATTTCTGAGTTTGTAGACACTGGAACTACAGTGGGGCCTTGACTTACGAGTTTAATTTGTTCCGAGACCGAGCTCCTTAACTCAAATTACTCTATCAACTCAATGCAAAAAATCGGCCGAGAGACAGCTGGTATCTCAAAAAACTCGTTAGTCGGGACACTCGTAAGTCAAGGCCCCACTGTATTGCAGTAGTCTATCAGAAGTGCAGATGCATCGCAGCCTCTCTCTGCACTGGGAACACGGGGGAGGCAGCCACTTATTGTTGGTATTATTGTTCCTTGTTGTATTAACAAAGTTTCAGTTTTTGTAGATTGTTTATCATAAATGTAAGAGGATTTGAGATAGTTTTCATGTTTCCCCCAGTTTCCTCTCCTGACAGGACATTTTCAGTTCCTGCACCTGTTCTATGTGGTTTGTTGTGTTTTAGGTGAGTGGAGCCCACAGGTGAGACGTCCGTCCTTCATTTTACAGCCAGAGCACAGGAGTCCCGGGAGGCGTGCAGCAGCAAGGTCTTCCTCCCTCTCAGGGAGAGGAGTGAGAAACCAGAGTCCCAGTGTCTCCCTTCTGATTTCTGCTTTTTGCCCCCCATTTCTAGAGCGGTTCTGGTGCGAGTCGAAGGATGCAGCCACCCAGTCGTCATGAAGGGTTTGTGTGCCGAGTGTGGCCAAGACCTGACCCAGTAAGTACTGACCCGGCGTGAGCACAGTGCCTTTCATGTTGGAAGGGGGACGGTGGGTGCAGAGGTGAAGGGTAGAGGGCACGGGTGGGGGCTGGGAACCTGACTGCTCTCAGGTCAGCTCGCCCAGTCACCCGCTGCGGGAGGGAAGCACTAGTGAGTAGAGATGCATTTCTGACCCTGTGGTGTGCATAGGGGGTGCTCTGCCTGGCTGTTTCCCCATGGAGTGCCTGTGTCAGGGTGACATCCGTGTGTTTTCAGCGGAGCTCTGTGAGGGACTGGAACGTCATCGTTTGGCCAGTCTCCTGTGTGTTTTAAGTGGACAACGTTCCACACTTGCCAGCAGCACATCGACCACAATGGAAATGAAAGTGCTCGCTACATTGGTTAGCAGCCGAAGGCAGCCACCTGACAGCCCTCTCGCTTCCGCAGGCTGCAGAGCAAGAACGGGAGGCAGCAGATGCCACTGTCCACAGCCACCGTGTCGATGGTGCACAGTGTCCCGGAGCTGATGGTGAGCTCTGAGGTGAGTGCCGCTCGTGGGTTCCAGAGCAGGGAGGGGGCAGCCGGAGAACGTGCCGGGCTTTGGTCACCTTTATCTCCGAAGTGACCTCTGGGAGGACGACGAGTATGGGGGCTGCACTTGTCTCTTTCCCAAGTGATTCCACCTGGGAGGCACCCGGCTCCCTGCTGTCTAGGGCTTTGGTTCCAGTCCCCTGGGGCCAGGTCTGGGCTGGAGGGATTAGACATGGGAACACATGCTGTGACCAGCGGATCTAGTCGGGAGGCTGAGGGCCAGGGTTAGAGCCCACAAGCAGCTGCTACCAGGACAGGTGGCTGTACAAGAGGTGACCTGGGTGGAGTCAAGGGCATCAGGGGTGCTTGTGGAGTGGACATGGGTGCAGGGACCCTGAAGAGGCCTCAGAGCTCCTAGGGGGGCCCCTGTGCATTTGTGTACCAGCAGGCCCAGCTGCCCAGGAATTGAAGGTGTCTGCACAAATAAGAAGTTTGGAGTTTTACCAGATCTGTTCCTTTTATGCATTCCAAGAACCCTGACACCTCATGTTTCTGTGGTCTGAGTCTAATGGGCTGAGTGAGCATCGCCAGGACAGAGCACAGGAACACGTCTGTGGGGTTGTATAAAAACTTAGTTATAAAGCAGTTTCAGAGCTCTACACCTGTGTGAGTAGGTGATACATTGTTACAGGTTTTTTTTAGATTTGTGCTTTTAAGTGATACCTACTTTTTTTTTTTTTGAGAAAGACAAATATCAGATACATGATTCAAGTTTTTCTGAATTACTGGACTTTAAACAAATGTAAATATGTGTGTGTGTGAGAGAGAGAGAGAGGGAGGGAGGGAGGGAGAGAGAACTAGGGAGCTGGAGGATTAAAGAGAAGAAAGTATCCACTGTTTCCTGCCATCACAGAACCACTGTTGGCTTCATTCCCTTCAGGATCAGAGGTTAGAATTCTGTGCAACCTAATGAGAGCCGGCGTTTGTTGACAGTGAGTGAGTTGCAGTGAGAAATGGTAGTGATGCAGGCCCCAAAGTCTTTGTCATGGGCCCACATCAGTCCCCTCATCGCTGAGTGTGGTAGGACCGGGCCCTTCTAAGAGCAGTGTCCCCGCTGGCCCGCGAGGGCAACATCTGGGCCATGCCGTCTCCAGGACCCACCTGGGCCTCTTCCAAGGTGAAGCCGAGCGGCGGGCACCTGAGATGCATCCCACATGCCTGCTGCTGCACCTCGTGTCCTAGTTGTCCTTGTCCTGGCCTACCGTCCCACTTTCCCCATTCCTTCTGCAGTTCACGGTGTTGAGTTGCTCCACAGCATCCAACTAAACTTTTATAGGAACCACCACTTCCTTTTACCTCCTTTTTCATTCGTTTACACCTTTCGTGAAATGACAGAGTTAGGATCACAAGGCAGAGTGCCTTGCAGGGTGTGATACACACTGCAGGCTCCAGGCAGCAGGGGAGTAGCCCTGTGGCCCCACATGGTCTCAACAGCAATGGGTCCACTGGCAGGCAGTGCAGGGGGTAGTGAAGAATATGCTCAGCTTCCACCTGTTTTTCTTAATAAAATTGAATTAATTTTGGATCCAGATAGACTTGCATTGTCATTTTTCCTTTTTCGTTTTAACTTCAGCAAGCCGAGCAGTTAGGGAGGGAAGACCAGCAACGACTGCATCGGAACAGGAAGCTGGTGCTCATGGTCGACTTGGACCAGACCCTGATCCACACCACGGAGCAGCAGTGCCAGCAGATGTCAAACAAAGTGAGTGTGGCGGCCCGCGGGGCTTCCTCAGCCTGTGCCACAGGCAGGCCCCCCACGGTCCTCGGCACCGTGAACTGCAAGCCTGGAAGGCCCAGGGGGCGGGGAGGGGGCGCAGATTAGATGGCAAAGGGGGCGCTCTTGGAGGAGAGGAGCAGATGTGTGTGCTCTTCAGGAATGTCTGCAATGGGGGGCAGTGCAGGTGCACCCGGGCTGTAGGTGAGGCTGGACCTCACCCTGCGTGAATTCTCCAGCGAAATACAGAGAATGGGTCGAGAACGGGATGCTACTTCAACTTTGTGCTCAGAAGTTGTGGAGCTGAGAAGTTGAATTTCTGGACCTTTCAGAAGGCTTTGCATGCCTGTTGCAGGTGGCTGTTCCCAGGCAGGTGTCAGCTCCTGCTGTCATTACCTAGAGACCAGCGTCACCGATATCGTCATCTTTCACTTCTTTGTTGGTGTGTAGCCCTCTGTTAGTGCTCGGATTTTCGTGTCCACAGAGCTCATCAGTCTGGTTAGGACAGCACTATGGGAAGTTGTCCTTGACAGGGGGGCCAGGCCAGGCCAGGCTGGCTTATGGGTTTATCATGCCTTTGAAGTCAGGCATTTATAAGACAGTTGAACTAGTTGTAACCTGCCAGTTTCTCAGCTAATATGGTCCAGAAGGCAAATGTCAGCATCTGCACGGCCAGTCCTCAGCTATTGCTAGGGCTTCAGTGCTGCCACACCCTGCCCACGGGCCCATCCCTCTGCTGGCTCGGTAACAGCATGATGACAGGGCTTTGCCAGCCACCCTGAGCCCACCCACATGCTGCTGCTGGCGACTTCAGAAAGACATTTACTTCTTAACGTGTGCCTTTAAGGACGTTTATTGCAATTCATGGACTATTTAACTATTGAGTGGGGTGGAAGTTGTTTATGAGGTTTCATTCCTAGTCTTTTAACATTAGTCTGATCACAAGGGCTTTGACTGAGTTAGAACTGGGAAAAGTTAACTAAGCCTAAGATTGGTTACTTTTCCTTTATAGTTGTTGTTTAGAGCATTTTTACTGAGAAAATTAATGATAAATACGATTAAGAAGATCACAGTTTACTTCCTGAGGAGAGGGAGCCTATTTGCCTATTAATCATGTATAAGCAGGTTGGTATTACTAATTTCACCTGTCTGCTCAGGTGATTTAGAATGCTGTTTCAGCTTCTGTGATGTGTCTATAAGTTAATAAAGCTGTGTCTGGTAGACTAGCTTATGTGGGAACCTGTGGCTTGCTTTCATCGATAACTGGGGAAGACACTGTCAGCAGATTAATGGGAACCTGTTCTAAGCCGACTGTGGTTCTGCTATTTGACCAATGTCAGTATTTGAAGGAACAAAGACATGGGTGACATTACTTCTGGGCACTTTGCTTTATCCATCATCAACAAGAGTGGGCACAGTAGTCAGGATGTGTGAGGGTCTGCTGGTGTCCTTGCAGCCCTTCAGTGACACCGCAGTGACTGGGTAGTTGTCTTAGTTGTCATAGCTGGTTCCTGTGGGTGTTGGTCACAGGTAGTCTCTGTACTTAAGACAGATAGTGGCCCTGTTGCCATAGGTCAGTGATGGCGAACCTATGACACGCGTGTCAGAGGTGACACGCGAACTCATTTTTTTGGTTGATTTTTCTTTGTTAAATGGCATTTAAATATATAAAATAAATATCAAAAATATAAGTCTTTGTTTTACTATGGTTGCAAACATCACAAAATTTCTATATGTGACACAGCACCAGAGTTAAGTTAGGGTTTTTCAAAATGCTGACATGCCGAGCTCAAAAGGTTCGTCATCACTGCCATAGGTAGTTACTGTAGGTACTTGCGGTGGTTTTGTAGGCAGTTAGTTACATGTTGTCATCGGTAGTTGCTGTGGGAATGGCCACAGCAGAGGGGACTGAGCTCACTCCCGTGGAGCATGCTTAAAGAAATCATGAGTGCCAGGTAAGTTGGCACGATACCTGGACCCGTGTCCTGACGGTGGAGCCCGTGCCCTTGGGTCCTCAGCTGACTGGGCATTCGCTCTCTGCAGGGCATCCTGCACTTCCAGCTAGGCCGGGGCGAGCCGATGCTGCACACCCGCCTGCGTCCGCACTGCAGGGAGTTCCTGGAGAAGGTCGCCAGGCTGTACGAGCTGCACGTCTTCACCTTTGGCAGCCGGCTGTATGCACACACGATTGCAGGTGAGCGTGCGGCTCAGGCTGAGCTGCGTGTGGTGCGCCTGAACACTGAAACTGGGTTATTTCTTACTGTCCATCATGCTTTCTTTCTTTTTTTTCTTTTTTATATATATACTAGAGGCCCGGTGCACAAAAATTTGTGCACTCGGGGGGG